AGTGAGCCTAGCAAAAACAAGTAGAACCACGACAATTGTGGGTTGGCACACAAGAGACTAGGGCATAGCAAGTCATAGACTTAGTATTACGGATAGAAAAGGTTAGACGCGGTGGAGACTGGACCTAATTGGTTGAGAGTTGGTATGTTGTACCATAGACGTGGTCCATGTAGCAAAGTCGTGACCATGAGACGTACTCAGAGGCTTGAGCCTCGAATTAGTCACCCATACGCAGAGGAGGGCGAATAACGCGTCGAGTAACACAGATGGGGTCAGGGCTCAAATGAAATATGTGGCCCAGGGAGATAGCAGACGGATTCTACGGGGCAAGAGGGAGACTGTGATAGGACTACGTAACAATATGGCAGGCTGATCAACATTCTCAGCGTGGAGTGTGAAGGGTTTTCATGAATGCGGCTCAAAGAGGCACATCACACTACATCGAAATAGGCACGGCAAAAAATTGTGACAGTGAAGGCGTGATAGGAGGATATAGGACATGAGAATAGCCCAGGGCAGAAGGGGAGACACCACAAGTGCTTAGCACACGTTTGCTCAAAGGATCGTCTTCAATTGTCTCTGATGCTTTGTTGTGTGGTGCTAAGACTGGCGAGACTCATTGACGCTGCCGGCGAAACGTCTGGAAATGTACCACGTCCACGTTCCGACTTTGGAAAGTACGATGCATACAATGTACTCCGGTCTAGGTGCGTTCCTCTAAGTCGTCCTACCAATATGACCAAGTTGTGAAAACAAGGTCAAATAACTTCTATACAATGAAAATTTAGTTAACCTTGAGCCCCTCCTTTGATCTAAGGGCTTGCCTTCGTACTTCAATGGTCATTTAGACTAAAACGAGGCCTAGCAAAAAGAAGGCTATTTCACACCAGAGCATAATTTAGTTGGACTCTATCAAGTATTTGGGAGCGACTTCTTAACTCATAATTTGGCATGACTGGCACTTCCTTGTATTACACTTTTCTGGGATAATTATCGCATAATCTGAAATTGAGCGTTTTTTATCTTTACAAGTTGTTTGATCTTGTTTTCGCAACTTGGTCGTGTTGGCAGGACGACCTAGAGGAACGCACAGTCCGAAGTCCATAGTATGCATGCTAGCTTCCAGATTGGCAGCATGAACGTAGTACATTTCCAGGCGTTTCGCCTGCATCTTAGTCAGCATCGTATTCGGCATCGTCAATGAGCATTGCCAATCTTAGCACCACCCTACAACTTGTCAAACAGACAAGTGGAGTTGATTCTCTGACCAATTGTCTGCTAAACAATCGTGGCATCTCTCCTTCTGCCCTCGGCTAATCGGCAATCTCTTTGACAAGTTGTAGTGTGGTCCTAAGACTGGTAATGCTCACTGACGATGTCGACTACGATCCCGGCGAAACGCCTTGGAATGTATCACGTCCTCGATCCGACTCTGGAAATTATCATGCCAGGTGGAAAATAGAAAACGAAAGCCTTGAACCGTCGGTCAAAGGGTTGCCTCATGGATAGATCGACCAAGACTTCAATACAACAGACGGGCTGTTGCTTGCTCGATCTTTTCATATGCGAGTAATTCCCGAATAATGACAATTAGTTGGATATGAGTGAAGTGAATTGTATTATGGGTTCCACTGCTCGATTGTTTGTCCTTGTGTGTGTGAATGGAGAAGAGTTCTTAGTTAACTTTTTGATGTATCTGAAATGGTACTCTCAGAATACACCAGCTACCGGCCTGCCAGACTCGATTTTGATAATAATTCACTGCTCATTGTAAGACATGGCGCATCTGCGACTAAAAATCATTACCTGCGAACTGAGCTTTACCAACTTTCTCTTTTCGGCAACCAACCGAGCAACACCAACGGAATCCGTCTTGTTGGCTTAAATATCAAGTTATGCTACCAAGCCACTTACCTGAGTTGGACCGTCAAAACTTGGTCGTCCCGAGAAGGCTGGGTAGGCAGGATAAACGGGAGAAGGTGGCGCCCTCATGAAAGACGAGCCTCCGACACGATTGTAACTGCCATCACTGTAAGCATGATTTGTGAACAGAAAGAACCAAACAACGATAAGTTGACCAGCATTCGCCGGCTCTTCGGGGTGATTGTGAAAATGCAGGTAGCATACAAGCAAAGAGTGACTTGAAGAAAAACTGGGTTTCGAGGAATTCCTTAGTGATATATTGTCAATTGACTATCTATTTCGAAGGAAAAGTTGTTTGGAAGGAATTCGTGATGTGGTCGCACTGGAAAACGAAGGTGTAGACAGTTGTATTTTGCGAAGTAGTCCTTGGTTATGCAGAGAGGCTGGGTTGCGAAGACTCCCTTGATAGATTGATATTGGGGCACCTTTCATTTCGTTTGAGGAGGCGGGTCAAAGAGATTTGTAGATTGTCCACCGCGGATACCGCATGGGGTGGCCTTGGACTTTTATTTGTTGAACTGGGCGACGAAAACCTAGGCTCACCGTCCTACGACCCCGATGACTCCGTACTGACTTTTTGTCTGTCATGTGACGGACATCGTCAGAGCCAGAAACCATTATTCACAAAAAAAACACGAAACCGAGAAAGGTGGCGAGCTGAGATCCTACTTACTTCTTATACCTCACTTAGGGAAGTAACTTGATCCTTCTCCAAGTAGGCAGAATAAGTTTGAGGTACCCAACCAAATCATAGGAAGCCTGATTAAAATCGCAAAGTT